GGGTGCTTCTTCTTGCCGGGAGCCAATCTCTCCACAGGAGCTGCGCGAGTGGTTTGCCCAGCGCCCGCGCCGTACTGCTGGTGCGGGAGGTTCTTCGGCTGCTGAGGGTGCTGCGGTCGCGGGTCCCGGAGGTGCTCGTACTGGGAGTACTGGAGCTGCTGGGCCTACGGGTTCGACTGGAACTGGCGCTGCTGAGGGTGTTGGCGCTGAGACTACCGCAGGTGGTCCTACTAGGGGTGCTCCTAGTGCTGCTGGAGGTGCTGAGGGTACTGGTGCTGTCCCTGCTGCTTGTGGCGTCGTCACGCGGCCTCGACCGTACTTTGTTCCACTCCTGCAGCAGGTTCTTGGTCTTCCTCCTTCTACTGGTCCTCCTCCTCCCTTAGAGTGTCCACAGCCTGTCCCGTCACAGTCACAGCTTCAGCCTGCCTCCCCTCTGCTTGCTCCTTCTCCATACGCTGGTCCTACTGGAGGTCTTACTGAGCGTCGTGAGCCTGCGTCTCGTCCTGCGTCGCCTGTTAGAGCTGCTCGCGCTAGTGGTCGCGGTTCGCGCCAGCGTCCTCCTCCTGTCCCTGGCACGCACTGGATGTCTCTGCGTCTGTCTACTGCTCCTCTGCGTGCCCCTTTGCCTTCCCCTCCTGAGTCCTCTCTTCCTGCACTTGCCGACCCGGAGTCGGACTCTCTTCGTGCTGCCAGTCCTACTGTCACGCGTCTCCTTGCTACTGTGTTCACTGACCCTTCTTTCGAGTCTACTGCTGCGTCTGCTCTCGTTACTGAGCTCGTCGACTTTGCTGCTCGCTGTCGCTTCGACTACGCTGCTAGTCTTGTCGCTGAGTCTGAGTCTGTCTGTCCTCCGTCCGTCGGGGGTGAGTGTGCCCTTGGCACGGACGTTCTTGAGGACAGGCAGGAGGAGTTCCAGTGCAGTAAGGTGCTTCACCTCATCTCGTGTCCGTACTGCTTACCCCTGAGGGAGACCCGGATGCACTTGACATCCCGACTCCGCGCTCTTACGCGGAGGCGATAGAGGGTCCCTACTCCTCTCACAGCAGGCAGCTATGGATGCAAAGATGGCTTCCTGGAAGTCCACAGGCACCTACGTCGACGCTGTCCCCCCTTCTGGGGCGAACATCATCAGTGGCATGTGGATCTTCAGGGTGAAGCGGCCGTCAAGGTTCTCCGCCTGTCTTCAAGGCGCGTTACGTGGCTCGTGGCTTGAGTCAGCGGCACGAAGTTGACTACTTTCAGACCTTCTCCCCCACCTCGAAGATGACCACTCTTTGGGTACTGCTGCACGTTGCTGCTCAGCGTGACTACGAGCTGCACTCTCTTGACTTCGGCACAGCTATCTTGCAGGGCAGCCTTCACGAGGAGATCTGGCTGCGTCGCCCACCTGGCTTCAATGGGTCTTTCCCTCTTGGTACCCAGTGGAGTCTCCGGCGTCCAGTCTACGGTCTCTGCCAGGGCCATGTGAGTGGCACGACACACTGAGGACTACGCTTGCAGCTTTTGGGTTTGCTCCTTCTACTGCCGACCCGTCGCTGTTTCTGCGCACGGACACCTTTTTGCCGCTGTTCTACATCCTCGTGTACGTCGACGACTTGGTCTTTGCCACAGCTGATACTGCTGGACTCGCCTACGTGAAGTCCGAATTGCAGAAGAGACACACGTGCACAGACCTGGGTGAACTGCGCAGCTACCTTGGCTTGCAGATCACCCGGGACAGAGCACGCCGCACCATTACCCTGAGTCAGTCACACATGGTGCAGCAGGTCCTTCAGCGCTTCGGCTTCACGTACTCCTTGCCTCAGGCCACTCCTCTGCCTACTCGCCACTCGCTCTCATCTCTGCCTTCGGATGAGTCCGTAGAGTCGAGTGGCCCGTACCCAGAGCTTGTTGGCTGTCTCATGTACCTGATGACCTGCACACGACCTGACCTTGCATACCCTCTTAGCATTCTCGCACGCTATGTTGCTCCTGGGAGACACCGACCAGAGCACATGGCTGCAGCAAAGAGGGTGTTGTGCTACCTGTGCAGTACGTCCGGCATGGGGCTAGTGCTTGGAGGGCGCAGTCCAGTGGTCCTCACTGGGCACGCGGACGCTTCTTGGGCTGACGACCAGGCTACGCATCGGTCGTCACAGGGTTACACCTTCAGCCTTGGTTCCGGCTCTGTTTCGTGGCGGGCTACTTGCCCGTCTTCTGTTCTTGGCTCCAATTGTGAGGCTGAGATCTACGCCGGGTTCATGGCTGCACAGGAGCTTTGCTGGCTCACCTACCTGCTGACCGACCTTGGAGAGCCGCCTCGTTCTCCTCAACTCCTGTACGTAGACAACAAGGCCATGCTGGCCTTGTGTCGAGAGCAGCGACTGGAGCACAGAACGAAGCACATTGCTCTCCGCTACTTCCTTCCTCGTGAGCTACAGCAGCGTGGACAGTTGCGGCTTGCGTACCTGGCCTTTGAGGCCAACACTGCTGATGTCTTCACCAAGGCACTTCCGCCTTGTGATCATCAGCGCTTCTGCACTCAGCTGGGTCTTGTGCTCGTCTTGCCTCACTTGCTCTCCTCTTGACCATGCTTGTACTCTCACATATATATATTCCTGCTCTTGCTTGCCTAGCTTTATATATATGTGTGTACTCTTGCATGTGAACTGGCCGTGTGGCCTTGACCCTGTGCTCGGTTTGTGTGGTGACTTTGTGATTCACCCTGAGCTTGCTTCGCTTTGCTTTGCTTGACTGGTCTTGTGACACCTTGTTCTCCCCCACTTTGCCTATGGGGGTGTGTGAGAACATTATAGCTTATGTTGTTATGTAGGCTATAGTGGGGTATCCCATAGGGGGTACAACCAATTAGGGTTTCATATTTGTACTCAATTCATTTCATAGTTCATCATTCTCCTTCTAATCTGGTCCTGCTGCGGGTGTTGCTCGTGCTGCTAGAGGTATTGCAGCTGGAGGTGCTGTTGGCGCTGGTGCTGCCGCTGGGGGTGCTGGTGCTGTCCCTGCTGTGTCTGGAGTCGCCGCGCGGCCTCGGCCGTACTTCGTTCCGCTCCTTCAGCAAGTTCTTGGTCTCCCGCCTTCTACTAGTCCTCCTCTTCCCTTAGAGTGTCCACTGCCTGACCCGTCACAGCTACAGTTACAGCCGGCCTCCTCACTGCCTGCTCCGTCTCCCTACACTGGTCGTACTGGAGGTCCTGTTGAGCGTCGTGAGCCTGCGTCTCGCCCTGCGTTGCCTGTCCGTGCTGCTCGCACTAGTGGTCGCGGTTCGCGTCAGCGTCCTCCTCCTGTTCCTGGCACGCACTGGATGTCTTTGCGTCCGTCCACTGCTCCTCTGCGTGCCCCTTTGCCTTCTCCTCCTGAGTCCTCTCTTCCTGCTCTTGCCGACCCGGAGTCGGACTCTCTTCGTGCTGCCAGTCCTACTGTCACGCGTCTCCTTGCTACTGTCGTCAATGACCCCTCCTTTGAGTCCACTTCTACGTCTGCTCTAGTTGCTGAGCTCGTCGTCTTTGATGCTTGCTGTCGTCTAGACTACGCTGCTAGTCTTGTTGTTGAGTCTGCGTCTGTCTGTCCTCCGTCCGTCGGGGGTGAGTGTGCTCTTGGCACGGACGTCCTTGAGGACAGGCAGGAGGAGTTCCAGTGCTTGGCTGCTGCTTCACCTCATCTCGTGTCCGTACTGCTTACCCCTAAGGGAGTCCGGATGCACTTGACATCCCGACTCCGCGCTCTTACGCGGAGGCCGTAGAGGGTCCCTACTCCTCTCAGTGGCAGGCAACTATGGATGCAGAGATGGCTTCGTGGAATTCCACAGGCACCTATGTTGACGCGGTTCCCCCACCTGGGGCGAACATCGTCAGTGGCATGTGGATCTTCAGGGTGAAGCGGCCGCTAGGTTCTCCACCTGTCTTCAAGGCGCGGTACGTGGCTCGTGGCTTCAGTCAGCGGCAGGGAGTTGACTACTTTCAGACCTTCTCTCCCACCCCGAAGATGACCACTCTTCGTTTGCTGCTGCACATAGCCGCTCAGCGCGACTACGAGCTTCACTCTCGTGACTTCAGCACTGCTTTCTTGCAGGGTAGCCTGCACGAGGAGATCTGGCTGCGCCGCCCACCTGGCTTCACTGGGACTTTCCCTCCTGGCACCCAGTGGAGCCTCCGACGGCCAGTCTACGGTCTTCGCTAGGCATCGCGCGAGTGGCACGACACACTGAGGACTACGCGTGGGGCTCTTGGGTTTGCTCCCTCTACTGCTGACCCGTCGTTGTTTCTGCGCACCGACACCTCTCTGCCGCCGTTCTACATCCTCGTGTTCGTCGACAACTTGGTCTTCGCCATAGCTGATACTGCTGGACTCGCCCACGTGAAGTCCGAGCTGCAGAAGAGACACACGTGCACACACCTGGGTGAACTGCGCAGCTACCTTGGCTTGCAGATCACCCGCGACAGAGCACGCCGCACCATTACCTTGACTCAGTCACACATGGTGCAGCAGATCACCCTGCAACTGTCGTGCCGGCCGCTTTCGTGATGATTTCATGAGCTGGCAAGTGGGACACGATGCCACGTGTCGCTGTACGTTGGTCAACATCTCGGGCCAGTAATAATACTGCTGCTGCTGCTGCCGTGTTTTTTCTACCCCAAAATGTCCCGAGGTAACTCCGTCGTGTGCCTATTATAACAGTAATTCCCGTAGCAGTGTGTACCCGGGCACCCAGATGCGGTCGGTCCCGACTTTTACGTAATAGACTCCCCTTGCTGCTGCAAACTGCTACGATTTTCCTCCTGTGAAGAATGGGTCTGTTTGGTACCCGTGGGTAAATAGGCCTGTCAGTAGTGGGCTGGTCTGGGCGAGTAGTATTGCATGGATATGGGCTGTAGGGCGGGTAAGTGTGTCGGCGATGTTTGAGGCCCCCTTTTTGTAGGTGACCGTGTAGTGGAAATTGGACTCGAGGAAATCGAAGACTGGGTTTTCGGTGATGAAGCTACCGCTATCCGCATCATTTGAACTTATGTCTCCAGACTGTCCTCACCTGCAACAACATCCTTCACCTCCTGGACTTGCGCATCCACCTTGATGGCATCGCCAGATTCCTCTTTCCCCGCCACCTCCTCCCTGACAGCCTGCACTCGGTTGGCAATGTGTGCAATGCTTGGGCGGCTTGCAGTGCGCTCCACGGTGCAGCTCACTGCTAGCTCATCCAGGCGCAGCACAACATCCCAAAGAGTGGTGTCCATGGTGGGGTGCTTGAGGCTATCTGAACCACCCGACGTCATGCACTCGGATACCCAAGAGAGTGAAAGAGGATGGACAAAATTGCAAGTTTGAAAAGGTGAAAATGCACATCAATAAGCCTATGAAGCAGATTCTTTCACTTTAATTGGAAAGATGCGATTATTGCAACATGCAACAAGCTGCGTGACTGGAACTTACCCACGCCACAGTATGCTTGGTCTTCCTAGCATCCTCAGATAATGAAGACCGTCCAGTGAGCACCACAAGTATGAGCATACCAAAGCTGCAACGTGCGAGAGGTGGTGACTACAATGCGATGGTGAGAGCAACTCGAAAACAGTGCCACGGTGAGATGCATATGACAACTCTATTTTGTGAATTCAAATAACATGCAGAGGATCTCGATGGTGTTCAATAAAAAAGGGAAGGATAATGGTGTCAAATCATAATGTTGTGTAGGCTATAGTGGGGTAGCCTATATGGGGTACACATTTCTAGGGTTGCATATTTGTATCACTTTCGTTCCTTAGTCAATCATTCTCATTTCAGTCTTCTCATGGTATCGAGCAGGTTCCCTAGTGGGAACTGTGCCTAGGGCCCACCACATCGATATTTTTTTTTTCCTGCCCGGAGCGCACTCAGCCCGAGTCGCGCTCCTCTCTCTCACTGCGTCGCGCCGCCCTAGCGGCCCCGTCGCCCTAGCAGCCCCGTCGCCCTAGCGGCCCCATCGTCCTAGCGGCCCCGTCGCCTAGCCCTACGGCCTCGGCGCCGCCCTGTCCCGGCCCCGCCGCCCTTCGCTGCGGCCCTGCCGCCCTTCACTGCGGCCCCGCCGCCCTTCGCTGCGGCCCCGCCGCCCTTCACTACGGCCCTGCCGCCCTTCCCTAAGGCCCCGCCGCCCTTCGCTGCGGCCCCGCCACCCTTCGCTGCGGCCTCGCCGCCCTTTGCTGCGGCCCCGCCGCCCTTCACTACGGCCCCTCCGCCCTTCTCTGCGGCCCCGCCGCCCTTCGCTACGGCCCCGCCGCCCATCTCGCTGCTGCCCCGCCGCCTACCTTGCGGCTCCGCTGCCCTTTGCTGCGGCCCCGCCGCCCCTCTCACTACGGCCCCGCCGCCTACCTTGCGGCTCTGCCGCCCTTCGCTGCGGCCCTGCTGCACCTCTCGCTACGACCTCGCCACCCCTCTCACTGCGGCCCCGCCGCCTACCTTGCGGCCCCGCCGCCATTCGCTGCGGCCCCGCCGCCCTTCGCTGCGGCCCCGCCGCCCTACCGAGCCGCCCGAGCCGCTTGAGCCGACCAAGCCACCCGAGCCGTCCGTTCCGCCCGAGCCGCCCAAGCCGTCCGACTCGCCCGAGCCGTCCGAGCCGCCCGAGTCGCCTGAGCCGCAGAGGAGCCGAGCCGTTGGTGCCGCTGAGCAGCAGTTGCTGATGAGCAGCCCGAGTCACCCGAGCCGTCATGTTGACGTGCTGCTGTGCTGCCGAGCTGCCCGAACCGCCCTGTCTGGTGAGAGCAGCGCTTCTGTCACTGCACTGCCCCTGTCCTACAGTTAGCAATGCTAGCCTACTGCTGTCATGGCCACCCCCATTGTTCTCGCTTCTGACGCTGAGGGTCGGACCATTGACTTCGAGGTCTAGGTAGATGACCTGCAGCTTTTCCTACAGTGCGATACGGCAGACGGTCTCTCCCTCTTTGACCTCACCTCTGATGCCTCCCCTGCCCCTGCTGCCGATGCCGACGCCACTGTCCGCTCCCAGTGGGCCACTCGCGATGCTGCTGCACGTCTTGCTGTGCGTCCCCACATGCCTACTACTGAACGCGCACACTTTAGTCAGTACAAGAGTGCTCAGACCTTGTACGACGCCGTAGTTGCGCGCTACTCCTCCCCTGCCACTGCTGCACTGAGCCGCCTCATGCTGCCGTACCTCTTCCCTGACCTTGCTGCCTTTCCCAAAGTCCCTGACCTCATTACACACCTCCGCACTAGTGACACTCGCTACCGCGCTGCGCTTCCTACTGAGTTCTGCACCAAGAACCCCCCCCCCATGTACATCACTCTCTACTACATAGTCACCCGTCTCCCAGACTCCCTTCGTGTAGTTAGGGACCACTTCCTCTCGATCTGTCCCACCACTCTCACTGTTGACCTCCTGGAGAAGGCCCTCCTAGCAGCGGAGAAGAGCATAGTCGCTGTAGGAGCCTCTTGTGGTGACCCTCGCACCCCCATCTTTGAGGGGTGTTCCCCGTCCCCCCTTTTGCCCTCTGTCGCCTCTGCTGCTGCGGCCGACCTTGTTGGTCTTGAGTCGGTCGGTGCGGCGACTGCCCCTAGCGGGAGACGCCGCTCTGGCAAGGGAAAAGGGGGCAAGGGCGCGGGTGGAGCTAGCGGGGGTGGCGGAGGTGGCGATGGAGGCGGCGGAGGGAGTGGGGGTGGCGGTGGGAGTGGTGGCGGGGTGGAGGTGTCGGTGGCAGCAGTGGAGGCGGAGGCGGCGAAGGCGGTAGCGGTGGGAGCGGAGGCAGCGGTGGTGGCGGAGGTGGAGGAGGCGGTGGTGGAGGAGGTGGAGCTGGTCGGGGTGGCGCTTCGCAGCGGAGCGGCTCTGGTAGTGGTCACCGCCAGTAATAGCAGCGTTCTCGGGACATCCCCCCCCCCTCAGCAGCTCCGTGAGTGGTACGCTGCGCGTCAGCGTGGTGGGGGTTTTGGTCCGTTCACCTTCGTCCTTCGCACCGGCGACCACGCGGGTGAGCAGTGTGGGGGTTCCCACTCCACCCAGCGCTGCTTTGGCCGCCTGACGGACGCTTGGCGTCACCAGTTCCCGGAGGCCGCTGAGATCCCCCGTTGGGGAGAGCTGTTTAGGGCAGGTGTAGCTATCTTTGATCTTGAATTTGATGCTATTCTTGCTGCCATGTATGCTGTGACTTGAAGTGACGAGGGTGACTGTTACCGGTGTTTCCCACCCGATCCGTGCATTGAGACTGCTGCTCTAGGTGTTGGTGAGGTTGCTGCTCTAGGTGCTAGTGCGGCTGTTGCTCTAGGTGCCAGTGCGTCTGCGTCCTCAGGTACTGGTGAGTCTGCGCTCGCAGGTACCGCGTCGGCTTCGGCCTCCCTCACCTTCACCCTTGACTCAGGGGCTTCTCGCTCCTTCTTTCAAGACCGCACCACACTCACGCCGCTTGGTCGGCCGGTTGTAGTCTCCCTGGCAGACCCCTCTAGGGGTCCTGTCCTCTCTCACTTCACCACTGTCCTCCCGTGTCCGGCTGCCCCCTCTGGCACCTTGTCTGGTCTTTACCTCCCCTTGTTCTCTACGAACTTGGTGAGTTGTGCTGACCTGCAGGATACGGGGGTTCACCAGTTTACTCCTGCGAGTCAACAGGTGACCCACTGCTCGGACGCTCGCACAGGCCGGCACCTGGCCACGTTTACGCGTCTGTCGGGGTCGAGCCTCAACACCCTGACCACTGAGTCTCCTCCTGTCCCTAAGTCTGGTCAGGTAGCTGCGTCGGGTCAGGTGTTTGCTGCAGCGTCCAGGTCTGGTCCTGAGTCTGCCCCCTGCTCGTGTCGCCTCCTGTCTCAAGAGACTCTCTTGTGGCACCACCGTCTTGGTCACCCCTCCCTGCCTCGTCTCCGAGGCATGGCTTCCCGTGTCCTTGTCTCTGGTCTTCCCCGGTCCCTCCCTCCCCTTCCTTTGGGGCCTGGTCCTTCCTGTGTCCCCTGTGTCGAGGGGCGGCTAAGGGCTGCTCCTCACTCCTCTTCGTTTCTCCCGATAGAGGCCCCGCTGCAGACGCTTCACATGGACGTGTGGGGCCCCGCCCGCTTCCGTGGACAGGGTCACAAGCGCTACTTCCTGCTGGTGGTTGACGACTACTCGCGTTACACCATAGTCTTCCCCTTGCACAGCAAGGGTGATGTCGCTGAGGTGTTGATCGATTGGATCCGCGCAGCTCGTCTCCAGCTCAGGCAGAGCTTCGGCTCGGACTTTCCTGTTCTGCGTCTGCGCTCTGACAGAGGCGCAGAGTTCTCCTCTGGCCTTCTACGAGCCTACTGTCGTGCACGAGGAATTCACCAGACCTTCACGCTTCCGGACTCTCCACAGCAAAATGGGATTGCTGTGCAACACATTGGCATGGTCATGGACGTCGCTCGTACGTCCATGATGCATGCGGCTGCCCCCCATTTTCTGTGGCCGTTTGCGGTTCGGTGCGCGGCGCATCAGAGCAACCTTCACCCCAGGGTCCCCAGGCCGGAGACCTCCCCAGCTTTGCTTTGGACGGGGAAGGTAGGCAATGCATCTGCGTTCCGTGTTTGGGGATCTCAAGCGTTTGTCCGCGACTTGTCTGCGAACAAACTGTCCCCTCGTGCTGCTCCTTGTGTCTTCCTTGGCTTCCCAACTGACGCGCCAGGGTGGCAGTTCTACCACCCCACCTCTCGTCGTGTTCTGACCTTTTAGGACGTCACGTTTGACGAGTCGGTCCCCTACTACCGCCTCTTCCCCTACCGCACTCCTTCCCTCCCCCCGCCACCGCTCTTCCTTGTGCCAAGTCCCCCTCCGGTAGACCCCCTCCCCCCTCAGGGTCCTGCCCCTTCAGGTGTGTCCCAAGTAGACGCAATCGAGCCGGTCGAGGTTACTGGTGACTCTGGTGCTGCTGTGGGTGCTGAGCCTGGGGGTGCTGACTCTGTGGGTACTACGCCTGAGGGTGCTAGGCCTTCGGGTGGTACTGCTGGGGGTGCTGAGCTTGGGGGTGCCGCGCCTGGGGGTGCTGAGCCTTGGGGTGCTACGCCTGGGGGTGCTGAGCCTAGGGGTATTACGCCTGGGGGTGCTGAGCCTGGAGGTCCTACGTCTGGAGGTACTGAGCCTGGGGGTGCCACGTCTGGAGCTGCTGAGCCTGGGGGTGCTGAGCCGGCGGACGCTGGGCCTGCTCGTGTGGCGTGTGGCGGTGCTGGGCCTGGGGGTCCTCCGGGTGCATCGCCTCGGCGGGAGCCACTCTCTCCACAGGAGCTGCGTGACTGGTTGGCCCGGCGCTGGAGGCGTACTGCTGGAGCTTCTTTGGCTGCAGAGGGTGCTGGTGCCGCTGGTCCCGGAGGTGCTCGTGCCGCGAGTACTCGAGGTGCTGGGACTGCGGGTTCGCCTAGAGCTGGAGCTACTGATGGTGTTGGCGCTAAGGCTACTGCTATCAGTCCTGGAGACGGTTCTGCTAGGGGTGCTGCTGGTGCTGCTGGAGGTGCTGCTGGCTCTGGTCCTGCTCCGGGTGTTGCTGGTCCTGCTGGAGGTCGAGCAAGTGGCGGTGGTGCTG